AGCCTGGAGTCTGTTATGTACCCACTCCGTCGTCACGTGTCCACGTGCTCAGCCAGGCTAGCCAGTGGCATGCTTGCCTGTGTGGGGTGGATACTCACCACAGATGAAGCATGTGGTCTTTAAGATCTCTTCCTTCTTCTGTTTCTCACTCCTCAGGTCAGCAAAGGTGTCGATGATGACCCCAAAAATCAGGTTCAGGACGATGATGATGACCATGAAGAAGAACAGCAGGTCGTAGATCACCCTTGCGGCAAACAGAGGCTCCTGCAGATGAGAGGGCACACTCAGGCAGGGCCCTCACTGCCCTTCGCTCTGAAGAGGTCAGCTCCCAGCCCCAGCTGGACGGCTGTCCACTTGGGCAGCGGTTACATTGGGCATCAAACTTTAAAACCCCCAACGATGTCTCTTTTTAATCCCCCGGGTCTGTACTGTGAATTCTCCCGGTGCTGGAGGAACACACCCAGGAAGGTTCTGTAAGTGTGTTGGTGTGGCCAGGTCTACTATTAAAGCAGACCTGTGTCAAGGGAGTGGGGAAACATGAAGCGGTCGTGGAGCCTTAACATGCTTTAGTGGGCATGTGTGGGGAGGGGAGGGACACTGACTAGCTTCTGCACAATGGCTTGTCACACTTCCAGCTCATCCTCCACACTGACAGTTTACACTCAGCATCACCACAGTGCACCCCCACTGCCCGCCCCCCGCGCACCCCTGTGCCCTTTCTTTCCCTTGGGATCCGTTTACCTCTTTGGATGGCTTCCTGAGCACATCTCCTACTCCACCCCCACTTCGCAGCCCGTGACTCAGAACAGTGACGATGCACATGAGCAGTGTCTCACACGTGTGCTCCTTATCCTGTTCCGTTTCTTCTGCAGGGAGCAGCTCTGTGAGCAGGGCGAGTCATAACACAGTTAAGACAGGAGGGGGAAAGAGATACTGCGATTCTACAATGATGTTTCCCAAAATGCCACCTCTCTCTAGCCGGCAGGCCCAAGAAATAAAACTAAGGAATTAAGGGTCAGACGTGTGCTGTCAGAATTCGAACAGCGCTCTTCCCACTACACAACCCTGCTAACTTCTCAAGCTACGTCAGTACCGCCCTTGCTCTACAGAGCTTCACACATCCCCTACTGTTTGAAGATGGTACACTGTAGTCCTCCCTGCAAACACAACAGCCTTTGGCCTAAACTAAGAAGAAGACGTCTTGCTTCTCAGGTGAGTGATCTGCCAGGTTCCCAGCTGCGCATGCTCCGAGGACAGCGGCATGGCCGGATCTCACAGTGGGACCACAGCATCCATGGCCACACATTAGAGCCCGTTTATCCCGCTTTGCAGTCTGCCCTGCCTGCTTCCTTCTCACTGCTCTGCTGAAACACAGACCTCTTTCTTATTCTGTCACTTTTATTTATTTATTTTGTACTACTGGAGACTGAATCCAGGTAGGACCTTCACACACGGTAAGCCAGTGCTCTCCCACTGAGGTGAATCACCAGCAGCACCTGATTGTAGCTTCTGGGCATCCTTTAACATTTCACCCATGCAGCTTGCCATAAGATCTATCGAGGGTCTTTCTGGAATCATCTCTTGCTGCTCCCCTTGCACATGGCCATTATCTCTTTGAATAAGTTTTACCATTAAGACTTTAGAATACCCCCTCCCTTCCTTTGCCTGAGAATCTTCCATTTTCGTTGTGGCGCCTTTACCTCAATACTCTGCTGGCTGCCTAGCCTCTAAATGGCATCCTTACTGAAGCAGCATTTGGTTCATGATCACTCATTTACCCGTCCCCCTCCGGCTCCATTGCTATTTCCCACAGAACCACATGGGCCTTGTCCACAGTGGGCACTCAAATCAGCAGCTTGTTTCTTTGCATGTGGTTTCCTGTTCTGTTCATCTCCCCCACTCTTCCAACTTTGCCCCTTCGCTGCTGGCCTCTCTCCGGAGCAGTATTTCTGTTTTAATCTGCTCCGACACCACCTCCCTCAGTCGCAGAAGGAGTAAGCTCTTCACCTGGGGCTAGCGGCTATGCGGTCCTACCTTCTTTGGGTGCAGGAGAGGTACAGTTCTCCCCCGTCTCCACCCTGCACACGTCAGAGTACAGGAAATCGCTTGCCAAGCTCTCGCCAGTTTCTGGGAAAGAGAAGGGAGTTTTGTGATGAACAATCTGGCAGCATATGGTTAAAATGTTTGAAGTCCCCAGTTCACGGCTGATTAAACAATCCTTTACATAAATAACACCCTCCAATACTGCATATAAATTCAAAGCACAGATGCAATTTACACTTTTATTTGGTGAGCTGGATGGGAAAAAAGCCAGAAATGTCAAGTTCTGTAGGCTTACTAACAGTATCACACTTAAATAGCACCTCTCTGACTTTAGAGATAAACAGCTGAAACTCTAAGAGAAATACTATTGCCTGTACAGATTCCGGCAAGATCTGGATCATGCCTGCACGGGAAGCAACGTGGGCAAGCATGGCACCCCGAGGCCCAGAACCCGAAGGTAGGTGACATTAAGTGGCACTTGATGTCAACCAAAGCCTGAAGTTCCACGTCAAGATACACAACTGAGGGAGAAGGCAGCCAGGCATGGTGCACCATGGTCGGTCTAGTTCGTCCCCAGGACTCAGACAGCCTGGCTACCTTTAACCAGGCGCCTTTCACTAAGTATTGGCAGCTATGCGGAGGAAGAACACCTAGGCATCGTTTAACTATTAATCATTGTTTTTCATTTGCAAATAGGAAGTCACTTTCAGTTTTGTTATACATACAGGAGCTCACTGTAAAACTTACACTTAAAAAAAAAAAGCCGCCGGGCGGTAGTGGCGCACACCTTTAATCCCAGCACTCGGGAGGCAGAGCCAGGCGGATCTCTGTGAGTTCGAGGCCAGCCTGGGCTACCAAGTGAGTCCCAGGAAAGGCGCAAAGCTACACAGAGAAACCCTGTCTCGAAAAACCAAAAAAAAAAAAAAAAAAAAAAGTCTTAGGGATAGCCACTGCTAGCAATGTGTGGGTCTGCCTACATTAAATATACAGTCAAGAACGGTGGGTATGCATGTAATCATAGCACTTGGGTGGGTAGAGGCAGGAAGGGAAGGAGCTCAAAGTCATCTTTGGCTACACAGTGTGTTCAAGGCCAGCCTGAGCAAGACAACATCCTGTCTCACAAAACTCCACACACAAAACAATATATAAATGTTTCAATTGAAAGTATGATCTTATTGTTGTTATTCCTGTGTTTTCTCATGTTATCAGTGTTTGTCCCTAAAGGTTTATGAAGATGTACCCTATGCATGGGGTACTCTACCTCACAGATGTGGGCCTCCGTCCAGTGGGATGCCCAGTTATATTAAGATTGCTCCCAACTTCGCACTGCAGTCCTGGATGTCTGCTTTTTTCCACACACTTAACAGGTTTTCCCCACAAGCATAAATTACCAGAAGTAGGTTCACTAAGTCAAGGGGATGCTTTTACTATATATAGTCAAAATGCTTTGTGAAAAAGTTGTGCTTGTTGAAAATATGGCATTAGTAAATTATTATTTTTGTGTGTGTGTTTTTGAGACAGAACCTTGCTACTATGTGGCCTAGGCTGGCCTCTAATTTGCACCAATCTCTCAGGATCAGAGTATGTACCAGCACACATGCATGGGGTAGTCACTGACCCTTACCACCCAGTATTTGGCATCCCCTTTGATATAACATGAGAATGACCTATATTCATACTTCATAGGGAGATATCTGTCTTCTAAGGTCATGCATTTACTCTAATCCAGTTATAATCCTGTTAGCATTTAAAAAGACGAGAGGATCCCAAACCCACCTGGAACAGCTGTTTCATTGGGCAGCCTGTCTACTTCCAAGATAAAATCATCCTTGAAGAACAGATAGCCCACTATTGAGAACAGGTAAACCAGGATCAGAGCCAGGACTGCTGTCAAGATGATGGACCGTCCATTGCGGGTGACACTCTTAATGACATTAAGCAAAGTCTCTTCTCGGTACACTAAATCAAAAAGCTTCAAAAAACAAGATGAGAGAACAATATTTAAGAAGCCTGTGTTTAGGTTTAGAGCGGCATCATTTACTCTCTTGGAAATTCAGAATCATTCTATAATTTTAACACATAACATGTTGCCTGTCTCCACAGTGAGAACTGAGATGGGAAAAATAAACATGGAAGAGAGGGTAGCAATCAGTACCAACTTCAAACAGCACACAAAACAGGTTAGAGGTTCCAGAAATAGAAATGGGAGTTTCACAGGACAAGGGGGAGGAAAGGAATGAGCGAATTGGCATCCATCTATCTAGAATCTAATTTCTGAGTTTATCCAAAGGGCCAGCTACTCTGGTACCTCCTCCGGGAAGGCCAGTGTCTAGTGGTGAAGCCAGGCATGTTACACGCTAGTGCAAATTGCAATATCTCTCAGCTGCTGAGGCTCACATTTTAGCTCAGCTACTGGTAGCCACTGGGTCTTGGGCTTTGTTCTGTTCCCAGCCCCAGCTTCGGTTTTCTCTTTTGTAGACTGGAGGATGGAGAGTTAATGTGAAGAGTAAACAAGCATCATATATAGAGCGCTTAGCACACAGGCATACTTATATGCTGTGCAAGTACTGTAAATGGCAGTCAACAACTTCCTATGAAGAGACTGGAGCAGAGTCACATAGTATGGTTGCAAGGATATCCACAGTGGAGACATACCAGGAAGCCTAACCCCTAAATCTCCTCCCCTAGTATAGGAGAGACCTCTGAAGGTCACACTGGGTTCATACATTGGGCCTGACCCCTAACTAATGGACATGCTCTCTTATGAGGAAGACAGGATCCTTGAACATCTATGTAGGCATTAGAGGATGACAGGTAGATTGTCTTAAGTACAGGTAACTATTTGGCTGGGAAGCAACTAGAAGAGCGCTCTGGAGTAACTCTTGGACTTAGAAACCTTTATTAGTATTTTTAAGATGTAGCCTTCCTATGTCCCCATGCTGGGAGCACTTTTTATCCTCCTGCCTCAGCTTCTTGATTGTCTAGGATTATAGGCACATGCTGTCAAGCCTGGCTGAAGGCCAGCTTTTAGGGTTTTGTTAATCAATGTGCCTCCGGTCCTCATGTCTAGACAGCCCTGAAAGGTTTAGTCTTCACTGTGGCTTTGGGTAACTGTGCACAGTGCAGTTAGTCATGGGGAAAGCACCTGGGCTCTTGACTCTGCTTCTGATTTACAACAAGATGCTGACTGAGCCTCTCAGGACCTCCGGCTCCTCATCTGTAAAATGAGTGCATGGAAATGGCTGGTCTCTCAATGTCTTCCACTTTAGGATTTTATAACTGAGGCCATTTTCTGGCCAATTAACTTTTCCCCCTGCCTAACTCCAATCTGTGTCCTGAAACTAGTCTCCTAGAGGGAACTGGGTAAAGTAGGAGCCTTAAAAGGAAGCAAGGAGGTAGCACTTAATCCACAAAAGATGAGAAAGACTGTCGCCGTTAACGTTGGTTAACTATTGTCTAGTGACTCAGTACTGAAGTACTAAGAGCATGTCACACGATGAACAAAGGGTACTTGTCTTCTGCGGGCAGGGGTCACAGAGACACAACAGATTAAACTAGAGAAGACTATTATGGTTTTATTTTTAATAATTTTGAATTTTAAACAATAAACACATACTCTTTATAAAAGAAAAACCTTCTTTTAATTAAACAAACAAAAATTGACCCGTGTTTACAGTAGAAAATTTAGAAAAGATAGAGTACAAAGGAAAAAAAAAACCCTAATAATTCCATCACCTGCAGACATCCACTCATGTTACTCCTTTGAAAAAAATGTAATGTATAGATACTAAAAAATATTGTAATAATGACATATAGCCACTATGAGACAACATTCAGGAACATTTCATGTGAAAATGATCTCCTACTAGTATATGGAAAAAATACACACAACATAGCCAATATAACTTTTTGAACAGTCAAGATGTTTTCAATTGTGTTATCACAATTGCTTTGGTGATGAGTATCTGTGGATATGCCTGTATACACACCTGCCTACTTATGGCTTTCTAATTTCCAGAAACAGAAACTCAGAGTTCCTATTGCCATTCAAGCATGCTGTATCAATTTATATTTAGTGAATAAGAATTTATAACCATTGTGTCCTCATGGCCACCAGACCAGGAATTATTATGATTTTTTAACCTTTCCTCAAGTGACAAGTGAAACTCAGAAAACCATGGATGTTTTAATGAGCTTGTCTAGGTTTAGCACTTAGGGAAGAACATATCTCCATGTTAAGTGACCATCTGGAGTCCTCACTCTGTCACCTGCCACTTATGGACTTTGTACACTGTCATCTCAGGTGTTAAGATTTTCTTAAGAATATAACTAGAAATGCAGGCTTGAGGCCAGGTCCAGACAGTCTGGGGGGGGGGGCATGGCACTTTAATGAGGCCAAGGGATCACTGTCCCTTTCTTCTCCCCTCCTGGGTTGTCTAAGATGAGGAGGCTCTGACTACCCAGGGGCCACTAGATTTCTCTGCTGGAAGTCTCTTGGTTTTACAGAAAACCCAGGTTTGTTTTGAACATGGGAGGTTTGCTTTCTCTGAGGGATAATTTGAACAGTTTCAGTATTATGTTTTGGGTTCTCATCAGACACATTCAGTATTTTTTTTTGGACAAGAAAAGGAGCTCACAGGCAAGCCAAGGCTCAGAGAACCCCTAGAAGCACACAGGATAAGCATTCATGATGATCTAGACTGACCCCACTGTGCTTTCATGATAGACAGGTGAGAGTTTGGAAAGCACAGATGTGAACTGCAGTATGAAACACTAGTTTAACAGAGGCACAGGCTTGTCCATGTTCTCAAGATGAATGAGCTTTGGACTTGGGGGACCAACTTACTATGTGATTTAGGGCAGAAGTTACCTAACTTTACTATGCCTCATAATCCTCAGTGAATTGAGGATATTGTCTCCCTCAAAAGTAGGGTGAGAGTGTGGGAGAAGTATGTACTTGCAAAGAGGAAGCAGCTACTGTCTTGTGGATGGGGAGGCTCTGAGGTAAGGAATGTTCATCTCATCCCACTCTGTCCCGTGCATTTAGGAAGGGCCCTGGCTGGCTCTGCAAATGACTCAAAAGACAAGGATGAAAATGAAGATAAGAAGAAGATAAAAGGAAACAAGATCAACAGAAGGGGGACCAGCAGGGAAAGCCACACTCCAGAAGGAGAGATGGCAATGGGTCAAAGGGGAGTCTGTCCCTTGGGAGAGACCCCCCCATGAGCAGGAACCAAAGAGAGGCCCCACTGATCTCTGTCACTCTACCCATGGCAGACAGGAGTTTGCTGGACTGCTGGATGTGGGTCTCCTGGACTCACAGGCTGAAACTCTGTCCAGGGATGTTGTTGCAGGACACAGAAAGGTTCCGGAATAGATACAGGGCTCTAAAGATTTCTAATGTGGAATGACCAAAATAGGCTACATAATGGCACTCACGAGTATATCCTGCAACCT